GGCCTGCTCGCGAGCATTCTGCACCAGTGCACGAGCCCGATCCCTCTCCTCGCTTGGTGCATTTGAAGCAGTCGAAACCGCAAAGGCAGCCCCGTCACTTGGTTTCGGGTCATTTGCGCCCACATACTCCGTACTTGTGCCACGATTTTTTTGGGAGGGGAGGGGGGGAGGGAGGGGGGGGAGGGAGGGGGGGGGGAGGGAGGGGGGGGGGGAGGGAGGGGGGGGGAGGGAGGGGGGGGGAGGGGGGGGAAGGGAGGGAGGGAGGGCGGGGGTGAGGGGGGGAGGGAGGGGCAGGGGGGGGAGGGGAAGGGGAGGGGGGGGGGAGGGAAGGGGAGGGGGGGGAGGGGAGGGGATGGGTGGGGGGGGGCGAAAAAGAAAAAACGACAGGGGGGCGGGCCACGCAAGGGTTCAGGGTTTGGGTTTCAGGGTTCAGGGTTCAGGTTTAGGGTCTAAGCTTCAGGGTTGGGTTCTTTGTTCAGGGTTCAGGGGCCTCGTTCATTGAGAACCACTCAGCGGCATGGTTAAGACCAAAAGGCGGGCACAAGTGACAGGTCTGCGTTTTCGCGGCAGGTGGCCCAAAGTGTGGCCCTGCTGTGATTTCAGGCACACACGCGAGCACAAGTGACACGCGAGTGCGTGGGCACAAGTGACACGGGTTAGGCGGGCACGAGTGACAGGTCTGCCGAAACCGCAACCCACAAGGTTCATCCATCCAGCTCTGGCATAGTAGTCGAAGGTCCCGAAGGTCCAATTGAACCCCGTCCTCCTCGCTGTTCTTTCGCTCATGCAAGGCTTCAAGCAGCCTCACACACACCCAGACTGTATGCTCAGCAGCGGGCTTTGAAACATCTTTGCATCATCTTACACCAACCCTCGCACACAAGCAGCTGAAATTTCTGAAGGCTCAAAGCCCTCAGTCTGCAACCCCATCTACATCTCTTTGAGGTGCACGTCTCATCCACATAAGGCTTGAAACTGTAAGCTACTCTTCTTCCAAGAAGCCTCAACAGAAAATAACAAGACTCTAACTACAGGTTAGCTCTCACCCTCCTCAAGCTCACACGGCACTTAACCGCAAGCCCCTCACACAAACATATTGTGGCGAACCTGAATCCCAAACCCAAAAAGTCAGCGGAGTAGCTTGCCAGACTCGGCAGCCACGACCAGGGACTCGACGGCATGCTGCCCTCGAGGAGTCGGGGAGACACTGAACAGGATCATGATCATAATCAGAGAAGCCACTGATCACCACCGAGAAACCCTACCCAAATCCGCATGCGGTGCCGTTCTTGTGTGTTGGAGGTCACAACCGAAACGCAAAGGAGAATGCAGAGGTCTACAGCCCCCTATCGCCAAACCCAAACTGTCTTTCCAGTGGCATAAACTACCACTCATGCCACTCAATTCCACTCTCATGCCATTCCACTCATCAGTTCGATCCCAGCCGCGAAGGTTGAACTCCGTGGAGGCCATCGCCTCAATCTGCAGCATACGGTTAGCAGGTTCAGCCTTAGACACGTTGGCAAGCCATCTCCTGTTTCTTCTTCAGCAACTTAGCCGATCACTGGGATCCCTCAAAGCTGATGCCTACAAGCCCTGCAAAGCCTCGGCTGCATCACAAGACTACGAGTCCCCTTAAGATGGCCAGGGCTTAGACTTAGGCACATAGAAGCATAGAATCTTAGAAGCCCAGATTCAAAGATGACATTCCGAAGTTTCCGAAGCCCTCAACCTGGCCCCCAGCACCCGACAATCCGACGACTTGCACCTGCGCACTTCCACACTTCCGCAGTGCATCGACGAGCTCACCCGACTGCGCGGCCTGAGGAGGCGCACTTAGGATGTGCACAATATCGCACAATATAACTTCATATATGGCTATGTGGCATGGACCTTTGTGTACCATGTGAAGCGGCTTGTCTTTCATGTATACAAGAACCAAGAAGCAGCCAGTGAACTCAGGAATTGCAAGCTAACAGCTGTGACGTGCTATGGGCTTTAGGTTGTAGCCCAAACCGCAACCGATAAATTCAAATAATGCCAAAGACCTGTGCGGCATAGACATTTACATATCCTTTGTTGTGTCACCTTTTTCATCGCAACGATAAATTGTAGACTGCCTAAGATCAATCATTCGACGCAGTGCTATTTACTCAGTTCCTTCTGAAACAAGCCTCCGCAAATCAAGACGGTAGAGAGTGGAGAAAGTAACTCTTCATTCTCTCGTCTACTACCATTTATGTTCACCATTCATTCATGATTTTATGTTTTGTTCTCTCTCTCTCTCTCGCAGCTTTCGTTCTGTTATTTCTCTGCGTTTTCGTTCGTCCCATTCTTCCTGTCCCGCTCCCCTCTCCATCGCTCCAAGAAGAAAAGAAAGAACAAAAAGAGAGAGCGGAAGAGAGGCGAGAGAGGAAACGTATTTAGGAGAGCTCTGTTCTCTCGTCCGTGTCTTCTCTCGCTGTATCCCTGGTACAGCGACGACCTCCACATGGCAAAGAGAGAAAGCAGGAATTCATGAGACGAGGGGCCAAGTGTTGCGAGGAGATGTCTCTTAATGTGCATTTTTCGGCTTCGTGAATAGATGGGAAAGAAGAGAAGAGAAGATTAGACCGGAGAGAGGAAGATCAAGGCAGGGAGAGAGAGAGAGAGAGGGAGAGGGAAAGCGAAACAAGAACTCAGCGACTACAATTGTAGGTTCGTCTCTCTTCCTCCCTCTTCCTCCCTCTCCCCATTCTCTTGTCTGCTTTCTCCCCGTCCCTTTCTCTGCCGTTCATTTTCCTGGCTCAGTCTCATTCTTCCCTGTGTGTTTTCCTGTCTCTCGAACGGGCATCCAGGTCTCCTCCTCTCCTCTTCTCTCTTTCATTCGATGCACCAGAACTTAGAATTGGTTTGCTTATATAACTGATCTGGTTCTCGTCGCCTTGCCTTTCTAGGAAGAGGGACAAGAGAAGAGGGAGAGAGCGGAGTAACAACAAAGACCGTCGATGAATCCTCTGGTGCATTTTACTTCTCGTCATTCTTCTCCTTCTTCTCTTGAGTGACACCCAAAGTAAGGGAAGACGGGGCGATAGAGAGGAGAGCGAAAATAAGAAGAAAGCGCACGAGAGAGACAGAGATAGGCCGCGAAATCAGAAAAGAGAGGGAGGGTCATTCCTCTCTCTTGTCATTTATCTTCTTAATCCTTTCAGGGTGTGGCAAAAAGGTAAGCAAGAGGAGAGGGGAGGGGTGCTTTCAACCTCCAAACGAAAGGTTTTCTGTAAACTACACCCTAGCGTGTCCTAAGCCTCAACATGTTTTTGGTAAATCCTGGGGAGGCCTCAACCTCAAAAACGAAAGGCTTTCTGTAAACCCATGTGCGACTTGATTCAATCTCAAGACAAGAGGTTTTCTGTAAGCCCTGGTGCGTCCCCAATCTGGAACACGAAGGTTTTCTGTAAACCCATGCATGCCTTCAACGTCGAAACCAAAGGTTTTCCGCAAACCCTAGTGTGTCCTCAATCTCAATACAACGAAAGGTTCTTTCGTAAACCCTGGTGTGGCCCCAACCATCTTTCCATTTTCAAATGCTGGGCCAGGGTCTGCTGCAGGGGGTGTTGAAAACCATGTAAACTTAATCACAATGAAAAGAAACTTGAAGTTTCAAAATTCAAATATACAAAAACTGTAATTTCAAGAATGCTGGCCCTTTAAATGCAAACTTAAATTGTAAAGTTTAAGTGTCTGAAAAATCCAAGTTAAAAAACGCTGACCAAACTTGTTACAATGTTAAATGATGGGCCAGGGTCTGCTGGAGGAGGTTTTGGAAACCTTGTGAAATCTAAGTAAACAACCTAAATGTTTGAAAACTATATATTCAACATTTCAAAATTTCAAGATGTTGGTCCTTTAAAAGCACATCTGTATTTGTGCCATTTAAATCTCTAACATCTTTGAAAACACTGGCCCTTCAAAAGCAAACTTTCACTTTGACATTTTAATGCTGGGCCGATCACAGAGCGCCAAACTGCGGGAATTTTGCCTGGACCTCCACATTAGAGCGGTGCAGCATGCTACCCCGTCTCCTGGGCTCAGAGTCTAGAGACTTATAGGTCTAGAGACTTATAGTAGGGATTGGGGCTACCCAGGGGGTTGACTGAAACCCTGTACAGTATTTAGATGACACTGTTATATAATAACAGATCCCGACTAAGCCTTCTCTCAATAAGAGTCCATGTTCCCCGACGGGATTTCGAATTTTAGATATAGATTTTCGCCCTAAAAACGATCTGGGCTTCTTTCTCAAATTCTAAGATTCTAGACTTTGTTGAAGGCCGAAATTCTAGCTTTCTAGGTATATGCAATTTTTCCAGAATTCCGGCCTGTAAAAACATTCTAGATGTCTAAAATTGTTGTTTCAACTGTTGGTCTTTCAAGCTACCCATTAAAATTTGAGAGTATGTCACACTTCGGGCCTGCGTTTTTCGGCATGAACAGTGCCAATGTTCGAGTTTTTTTGCAGAATTTCGGTGTTTTTGTGTATTGAGGTTTTGAGACAGAATTGATACTTTGTATGGGCTTGTTCGTTTTTGGGGGACTCAGGTTTAAGAACGGCGGATGGGTTGCACACCCGTGAAACATACCCCGAAACATACCCCCGAAACTGCATCTAAAGTAGCTCATGACGCCGCGAAACATACCCCAAACATACCCCCCGAAACATACCCTGATCCCAACACTTGTCGCCCGCCCCCTCATTATCGAACAAACCCATACATGTACATGTAGTAAGTTGATTATATGTATATAGTTTGGTTAGATACATAAATTAGAGAACCTGAGGGTGTGCCCGAAAAAACATGTGTTGTGGAATGTGGAGTGCTGACCCCCAGATTTTGAGGATGTCAACCCATATATATGTATATATATTTATTTATTTATTTAATTATATTTATATTTATGTTTGTATGTGCATACATATATATATATATACACATGTGCATATTGAGGTCGTTGTGACACTTGTTGTGACTTTAGTTTTCTGAGTATATACCAAGGGAGACTGGCTTCTTGCTAGCAAGGAATTTTATGTTTGGCTTTCATGAGCACCAAACCGAAAGGATGGGGGCGAGCCCATAAGACTACAAGGCATGTAATTTATGAATAGAGAATTTGTGAAAGCGCAGATGTGTTTTTAGTATTCTTTTGATTGTTCATATTGTTGGATTTATATTCGCTATCAGTCGTGCTAGTGCGTATGGTGATAAGTAGTATTGGCATTGTTCGCAGTGCTAGTGTTGTGAATATCCTTACGCCTTCTTCGTGTCGCAAGAATTTCTCCTTATGAATCCCTCTGCGTCTCTTTTGGGATTCAGGACTCGCCACCCAACATCTCAAATTGGGGCTCAGCGCTTGGCACTCAGCGTGTTTGGAGGGCTTTAAGGCTTGCAACGCAGTTTCTCCTTTTTGGGTAAGATTATAGGGTCTGAAAATAACGAACTTCATAGACTAGGGCCACGTGAGAAAAAATTAGGGTGGGACGCGAGAATACTGTGAGCAAATTTCTCTGACCGGACCTCAGACCTAAACTCATGATTTAACACTCGAATGACTCTAATGAAACTGCAAGGGTCATGGGGGCGACTTTCCAGTACTCTCACCAATTTCCGATGGCTCGAAACTTTATCTTCCCACGGCCCTTCCCAATATTTTTAGGCCCATAAACACCACCCAGAGCAGGGGGCACGACAATACTGAGAGCAAATATGTCGGACAATTGTTACCATTTAGTGTTTCCACTCTATAGAATGAAGACAGGGGGGGAGGTTCCAGGATTAGGTACTACTTAGTGTTTTTCTAAAACATAGACGATTTTAGAGGAAGGGGGGGGCGGGGTGATGCGCCCATGAGCCCAAGGGCTTTTAGTATGTTGAGCCCCTAAAACCATGCACATCTAAAAACAAAGGTTTTGCATCTTGCATCCCAATACAACCAAAATATCAACCAGCCCATACCATTTCGATTTTTGATGTTCAGGACACACTAAGGCACTAAGGTTTACAGACCACCTTTCGTGTTTGAAGTTGTGCACACACTATAGGGCTTACAACAACAAAGTTCGGTTTTGACGTTGCAGGCGCACCAGGGCTTACAAAAAAAGACTTCACTTTTAATGTTGAGAACACACTAGGGTTTACAAAAACCCTTTGAATTTGGATGTTGAGAACACAGTAGGGTTAACAAAAACACTGGCGTTGCCAGAGTTGTGCACACACTACAGGGTTTGCAAAAAAAAACGTTCGGATTTGCCGTTGCAGGCGCAAGCAAACAGCACCGCGTAGATCCAGGCAGATCTTGTCCATTGCCTTTTCGCCAAAACATCGAAGGATAAAATCTGCCTGGATCTACGCCCCATGTTTTTTGTAAGCAAACACCACATCGCGTAGATCCAGGCAGATCTTGTCCATGGCCTTTTCGCCAAAACATCGAAGGATAAAATCTGCCTGGACCTACGCGCCATGCTTTTTGTAAGCAAACAGCACCGCGTAGATCCAGGCAGATCTTGTCCATGGCCTTTTCGCCAAAACATCGAAGGATAAAATCTGCCTGGACCTACGCGCCATGCTTATTGTAAGCAAACAGCACCGCGTAGATCCAGGCAGATCCTGTCCATGGCCTTTCTCAAAAATCGAAGGACAAAATCTGCCTGGATCTACGCGCCATGTTTGTTGTAAGCAAACAGCACCGTGTAGATCCAGGCAGATTTTGTCCATGACGTTTTCTCAAAAATCGAAGGACAAAATCTGCCTGGATCTACGCGCCATGTTTGTTGTAAGCAAACAGCACCGTGTAGATCCAGGCAGATCTTGTCCATGGCCTTTTCGCCAAAACATCGAAGGACAACATCTGCCTGGATCTACGCGCCATGTTTGTTGTAAGCAAACAGCACCGCGTAGATCCAGGCAGATCTTGTCCATGGCCTTTTCGCCAAAACATCAGAGGATAAAATCTGCCTGGACCTACGCGCCATGCTTTTTGCAAGCAAACAGCACCGTGTAGATCCAGGCAGGTCTTGTCCATGGCCTTTTCGCCAAAACATCGAAGGATAAAATCTGCCTGGACCTACGCGCCATGCTTTTTGTAAGCAAACAGCACCGCTGGATCCAGGCAGATCTTGTCCATGGCCTTTTCGCCAAAACATCGAAGGATAAAATCTGCCTGGACCTACGCGTCATGCTTTTTGTAAGCAAACAGCACCGCGTAGATCCAGGCAGATCCTGTCCATGGCCATTCTCAAAAATCGAAGGACAAAATCTGCCTGGATCTCCGCGCCATGTTTGTTGTAAGCAAACAGCACCGTGTAGATCCAGGCAGATTTTGTCCATGGCGTTTTCTCAAAAATCGAAGGACAAAATCTGCCTGGATCTACGCGCCATGTTTGTTGTAAGCAAACAGCACCGTGTAGATCCAGGCAGATTTTGTCCATGGCGTTTTCTCAAAAATCGAAGGACAAAATCTGCCTGGATCTACGCGCCATGTTTGTTGTAAGCAAACAGCACCGCGTAGATCCAGGCAGATTTTGTCCATGGCGTTTTCTCAAAAATCGAAGGACAAAATCTGCCTGGATCTACGCGCCATGTTTGTTGTAAGCAAACAGCACCGTGTAGATCCAGGCAGATTTTGTCCATGGCGTTTTCTCAAAAATCGAAGGACAAAATCTGCCTGGATCTACGCGCCATGTTTGTTGTAAGCAAACAGCACCGCGTAGATCCAGGCAGATCTTGTCCATGGCCTTTTCGCCAAAACATCGAAGGATAAAATCTGCCTGGATCTACGCCCCATGTTTTTTGTAAGCAAACACCACATCGCGTAGATCCAGGCAGATCTTGTCCATGGCCTTTTCGCCAAAACATCGAAGGATAAAATCTGCCTGGACCTACGCGCCATGCTTTTTGTAAGCAAACAGCACCGCGTAGATCCAGGCAGATCTTGTCCATGGCCTTTTCGCCAAAACATCGAAGGATAAAATCTGCCTGGACCTACGCGCCATGCTTATTGTAAGCAAACAGCACCGCGTAGATCCAGGCAGATCCTGTCCATGGCCTTTCTCAAAAATCGAAGGACAAAATCTGCCTGGATCTACGCGCTATGTTTGTTGTAAGCAAACAGCACCGTGTAGATCCGGGCAGATCTTGTCCATGGCGTTTTCTCAAAAATCGAAGGACAAAATCTGCCTGGATCTACGCGCCATGTTTGTTGTAAGCAAACAGCACCGTGTAGATCCAGGCAGATCTTGTCCATGGCCTTTTCGCCAAAACATCGAAGGACAACATCTGCCTGGATCTACGCGCCATGTTTCTTGTAAGCAAACAGCACCGCGTAGATCCAGGCAGATCTTGTCCATGGCCTTTTCGCCAAAACATCGAAGGATAAAATCTGCCTGGACCTACGCGCCATGCTTTTTGCAAGCAAACAGCACCGTGTAGATCCAGGCAGGTCTTGTCCATGGCCTTTTCGGCAAAACATCGAAGGATAAAATCTGCCTGGACCTACGCGCCATGCTTTTTGTAAGCAAACAGCACCGCTGGATCCAGGCAGATCTTGTCCATGGCCTTTTCGCCAAAACATCGAAGGATAAAATCTGCCTGGACCTACGCGCCATGCTTTTTGTAAGCAAACAGCACCGCGTAGATCCAGGCAGATCCTGTCCATGGCCATTCTCAAAAATCGAAGGACAAAATCTGCCTGGATCTCCGCGCCATGTTTGTTGTAAGCAAACAGCACCGTGTAGATCCAGGCAGATTTTGTCCATGGCGTTTTCTCAAAAATCGAAGGACAAAATCTGCCTGGATCTACGCGCCATGTTTGTTGTAAGCAAACAGCACCGTGTAGATCCAGGCAGATTTTGTCCATGGCGTTTTCTCAAAAATCGAAGGACAAAATCTGCCTGGATCTACGCGCCATGTTTTTGTAAGCAAACAGCACCGCGTAGATCCAGGCAGATTTTGTCCATGGCGTTTTCTCAAAAATCGAAGGACAAAATCTGCCTGGATCTACGCGCCATGTTTGTTGTAAGCAAACAGCACCGTGTAGATCCAGGCAGATCTTGTCCATGGCTTTTCTCAAAAATCGAAGGATAAAATCTGCCTGGACCTATGCCCCATGCTTTTTGTAAGCAAACAGCACCGTGTAGATCCAGGCAGATCTTGTCCATGGCCTTTTCGCCAAAACATCGAAGGATAAAATCTGCCTGGACCTATGCCCCATGCTTTTTGTAAGCAAACAGCACCGTGTAGATCCAGGCAGATCTTGTCCATGGCCTTTTCGCCAAAACATCGAAGGATAAAATCTGCCTGGACCTATGCCCCATGCTTTTTGTAAGCAAACAGCACCGTGTAGATCCAGGCAGATCTTGTCCATGGCCTTTTCGCCAAAACATCGAAGGATAAAATCTGCCTGGACCTACGCCCCATGCTTTTTGTAAGCAAACAGCACCGTGTAGATCCAGGCAGATCTTGTCCATGGCGTTTTCTCAAAAAACGAAGGATAAAATTCTGCTTGGACCTACGCGCCATGCTTGTTGTAAGCAAACAGCACCGCGTAGATCCAGGCAGATCTTGTCCATGGCCTTTTCGCCAAAACATCGAAGGATAAAATCTGCCTGGATCTACGTGCCATAAGCTTTCATAGCTTTTATGGCCTTCACTAAAAGCTATACAAGCTATAAACCCTGGCCTCCTGGACTTCCGAAACCCTTTAAAAGCTATAAATGCTATAAATGGCGATAAAGGTTTATAGCATGTGTAGCTTTCAATACCGTGATTTGGGTCTAGAGCCTAGCCAGGAACTCTGCCATCAGGGCCCAGCCTCACAGAGAGCCGCCGAGGCTTTTTGCCCAGCGCTCCGCGCGGCGAAGCGCTGGAGGAGGCCCCAGAGCCTCGAATTCATCGGGTTTGAAAATCCGGAGGAGGTCTCCCGACAAGGTTCAAGGTTCAAGCGAAATTTTTGTGGAAGCAATTGAAATGTGGACATATGACCCAGAATGCGGGCAGAGCCATGGATTTGCACAACGGGGTTGCCACACGAGAGCAGACATCCGTTGCTGCTCTGGTCCTCTGGCGTGCTTCAAGCGAGCGGCTCTCCTGTCTGCGCGCCATTCAGCAGGGCCTTTGCTCAGATGGGGCAGCATGTTTTGGCCAGCACTGCTGGGACTTGACGACTCGAAACCCGACTCACCTAAACGCGAAATCCTCGACAGCAGTGGCATGCTGACGGCCTCCTGCGCCTTTTGCCGCAGTCTTTCGAGCTGCTCGGGCACCAAGTCCTCGCAGATGACCGCCAAAAAACGACAGAAATAAGATCGCGAAAACCCACATTTTGACTGCTCGACTGCGGCTCCTTCTCTTTGGCTGGCGCTGTCTCTTTTGCAGTCCAAATGGAATCCTGGGTCTCAACACAACCTTTGGGTGACCATATAAGGTTGGGGAATGCGCGTGATGAGGAAGCTAGAGATACAGAAAGAGAGAGTGAAAGCGCCCCCAGAAGATGCATGCCCTCCAAACCTCCGAAAGTATGAGCTGAACAACAAGCAATTCCGCAAGGTCACACTAAGACAGTCCAGGCACATGTACCTTCCCCTGCAAATTGCTTGTATATGTGCCTGTGATTGCCTGTGCAAATTGCCAAGGTCACGCCGTCGAAGCTTGAATTTACACAAGGAAGGTCCCCTGCAGAGTCTTCAAGTCTCTAAAAGTCTCTAAGTCTCTGAGAGATTCTAAAAAACCTAAGCCAGGTGGCGGGTGGGACCTCAGCTGGGCTGGGCTTTGCCGGCAGCTCGGGCGGCTCCGAGTTTCCAACTTTTTCGCCGGGCTCCATGGCTCGCATCGGCACTGCTTTGAGAAGGTCCTCCTTCGGCACTGGCAAAGCGCCTGCCATCAGATTCAGGACATCGCGTGACTGGAAAGGCTGCACAGCCGAAGCATTCTTCTGGCACAGGTGGAATCGCCTTTGTCCGCATCAGGGACGAGTTTCTTGATCGGCTTCTCCTGGCCACCAGGCAGCAACCATGAAGGGCCCTAAGCCCTTTTTCAAGGCACTGGCTCCTTGGCGAGTTTCGTGTCTTCCTCATGGCTCTCGGCCACGCTCAGCGCCTGGGACCACAAGCAGCCACCGGAAGTAAAAAACAAAAACAAGCTAGCATCCGACATGGCACGAAGAAATGCAACACTAGCCAAGCATCGCCGCACAATTCACAAGTACCTTTAGACAATACAGGATCGGAGACTTCAAAATACTTCATAACAAAGATCATACAAGCTGCGTTTCATGTGTACGGGCAACAGGGAGCTCTGAGTGGCCAGCGTCCAGTGGCCCAGTGCAACCTTCGTCCTTGCATTGTGCAATGAGTTGGGTCGTGAAGGCGGCGTAGGCTTCTCGATGCTTGACGACTCAGCCAAAATTGCGTTCACCGTGTTCACCCCAACATCCCTCGCAGCATGCACAGCCTTCAGTCAGCCCCGCCTCTGCGATGTCACCCGAAGCTTCCACACTCATCTGGCTACAAACGGACGCAGGCAAGTATGCAGGAAGAATTCTCAGTCATCACTGACATGAGCATGCTGCATTTGCACATGGATTGCGTTGCCGCCGTTGCCATGAGGAAAGTTCTTGCAGTCCCTTGGCTGGAGCTGCGTGCGTGTGTTTATGGATGTTTGTGGCCTTCGCAAGCGCCGCCTCTCCATCCGTCGGAGGGCTGGAGTTGGCCTCGGAGACCGTTCGCATGAGCCCTGAAAGCTCCAAGAGAAGCTGTCGGAGACCCAAAATTCTGCTTGTGCGGGGGTCCAGTGGAGTGGCAATGCCCAATTGTTCCCGTTCAGCGGTCCATAAGCAGCATCTGTGACCGAACTTGAGCAGCATGGCACAAGGCCAACCTGAAATCCCAAGATGTCCCAAACAACTCAGACCTTCCGAGAAACCACATTCCTCGCTTGGAAGCTCAGCGGCATCTAACGCAGGGACGGCCGTTTGCAGCGGCAAGGCCTCTGATTGTATTCCAGAAAGGCGAGAAGGGGAAAGAGACTAATGTCTTCGGTTACAGATGCATTCCAGCACAGCTTTGCTTGTGTCTGGCATGTAGAGGAAATTCTGGAACTTCGCAGCTGCTTGTGGCAACCGCTGAGCAGGTGCTCAAACCCATGCCAGAACTCCAAGCATCAAGACGATTCTAGCAAGCAGCGCTCCACCGAGCAAAACCGACACTAAGGGTCGCGGACGGAAGACGCAGCAAGGCCCGTCAACCGCCCCCCCCCTACTACGCCGGGTCCTCCCGAGCGCAGCTCCGTGCTTCCAGGAAGGTGCGGAAATCCTTTGCCTCCAGCATCGCCCCTTCCAACGTGCACAGTCATGGACAGACATTTACACAGGGTCGTGGGCCCATGTCGTACTGTACGAGCGGGCGTCCACATCTACCCAGTACACCCCCAGTACACCGGGTCTCCCCCAGCGCAGCTCCATGCTGCTTCCAAGCATCATGTCTCCGCAGCTTCAGCGCGGCGGCGCAGGGCCGCCCGCGCCCGATGGGCACGGATCAGAACGCACAGCTCCTGCATGAGGGCGGAATGTGCACGCTGGGGCTCCTCGCCAGTCCGCGCAGCCACAGCCCGCGCAATGTGCTGGAGGACGATGCCCGCACCTTTGTCCCATGTGCCTGTGGATTCCACCACCATCGGCACAAACACCACGCCCTGGCCCTCACAGGCCTGCGCAGTGCCCAAGTGCGCCTCCTTGTGGCGGGCGTAGGCAGCAGCCGCCGCGCCTGTCTCCCTGCCTGCCAGTGCTAGGGTCTCCTGCCGCTGAGGCGCTGTAACAGCGAAGTCAAGCGCAGCGGGAGACCCAGCAAGGGCAGGCAGAAAGACATCGGCAGGGCGACGTCTGCCTGTCTGCGTGTCTTCAGGGCAAGTGGGCAGCAGAAGGTTCGGGCGCTCCTTCTCCGGCCGAAGGCCAGCCCGCTCAGCCCAGGAACACACAAGGTCACGGACAGCGTTGTGTCTCAGAGTCCGTTCGCCGCCAGCCACACACATGCCAGCGTGGTAGCCCCAGCAGTCCAAGACCCCATCGCAGCGAGGACACCAGCAATCATCAGTGGCTTCGGGCACCCCCAGGCGGATTCGCAACTCGGCAATGAAGGCGGCAGGCTCCATGCGCGTGCGTCCTGAGGGCATGGCGTTGAGGAAGGCGCGCGCCCCCAACCCCGCTTCAGAGTGAAGGGCAGCCCGAGCGACGTGGCTGCTGTGTTCAAGCTGGGCAGCGAAGCAGGTGGAGTCCAAAAGCTGAGACAGGTCGCGTTGCTTGCTTTGCAAAGCAGCAGCAAGCGTAGCAACCCGACTGCCCACGGCGTTCTGGAACAGGTGGAAAGCCCCGACCACATGGTTCGAGGTTTGAACGGCCTCCTTTGAGAAGTTGGGGTCGAGGTCACTGCAGTGTTCCAGGGAGGCCCCCACCGAGGCCAAGTAGGCAGCAGGCGCATGGGCAGAGCAAGAGCGCAGCCCAAGCCCCGCGTGCGCGAGCCCTCGAGAGGCTTGCAACCACTGCTCAGCAGTAACATGGATGCCAGTGAGACCACCGAGGCACCGCCGCACCAGCCCATCAAAGTGGGCCAAAGCTGCAGCCTGAGCTGCAGGCGGGTTACAGCGCATGCTGTGAACCATGCGGCAGAAGCCGGCGCACGCCCGCAGCAAGCGTAGTCCCACCTGGGGGTCCTCAAGCTCGGCCAGCGCCTCCAGCAATTCACCCGCTTTTTCTGCCCGCGCCAGGGTGTGTGTCTGGATGAAGTCATCGTCCCCAATAGCGGCCCCCAGGAACTCGAAGTTCCTGAGCACTCTCCCAGAACCATCAGCATGGAGCAGCAGGGCAGCCGGGAAACTTGCGCGCATGGTGCCCTCATCAATAGGTCCCAAAGCCACAACTTCGCACTTACGCAGGTTGAGTTGCAGTCCAATTGCGGAGGCCTGCTGCTGGACCAGGGTCAGAGCAGCACTGACCGCGGCAATGTCACCGGCAAGCACACCGTCATCCAGGAAGTGCATTGCAATGTCCAGGGTCCTGCCCTGGTGGAGCTGGCTGGCGAGAGGCTGCAAGGCAGCTGCGAACAGCAGCGGCCCGAGCGGGTCGCCCTGCTGAACACCAGAGCAGGACTCCAGGGCGCGAGCTCCAAACTGGAGCCGCGTGTGTTGCCGGTAGCACCAAGTAACCCAGCGTGCCAGAGCAGGGAAGCGGTTTGTAGTTTCATCAAGTACGGTGTCCCGGTGGACACAGTTGAAGGCATTGGCAAAGTCCAGTTTGACCAAAACCTTGCGAGAAGAACCCGCGTGGCGGCTAGTCCAAGCCCGCAGAACATGGACCGCTTTCTCTGCACCTCCTTTGACCGCGACCCCAACCTGAGCCGGCCAGAAATAGGCGCGAGCCTCATCACGGACCAGACTCATCAGGCACTTGCCAGTGAGCCGGCGCAGGAGCTCACCCACAGCAATGGGCCGGACGCCCCCGCTGGCCTTCGGCAGTGCGACCAGCCCAGCCCCGGCCAACACAGGGGCGACACTAGGCGGAGCACGTCCTTGAGCAAGAACATTGACGACAGCAGTGAGCTGCGAGAGGAAGGCCTCATGTCCGCCAGCAATGCAGGCGTCGCGCAAGTGCTGCACACGGAGGCCAGTGGGCCCCGGGGCTGTTTCAGCAGGAAAAGCACGCAGGCAGCGGGCCACCACCTCAGCTGCGACTTCAGGCGCAAGAGGAAGTTCCTGCGGCGGTCGAGCTGCGGGAGGAGCTCTCTGGGGATGAAGGAGTTCCAAAGCCCGAGCAGTCTCAGCGTTGTCAGGGCATAAGCCTTTAGACAACAAGGCCGCGCAGGCTTTTCTGTCGAACCCCTCCCTTCCCCACGCTTCAGCCAGGCCTCGCCGCTCCTCAGGCGTGGGCGCTGCAGAACACCGCTGGCGGTGCTGAGGGCGCGTGTCCCATAAGGACCTGCGCTCCCCCTCCTGCCATCGCTGCATGCGATCCAGGACGAAAGCAGCGACGGCTCTCGCGTGCTTCTTCCCCCGTCGCGCTGGCGCGCAGAGTACACTTTGCGGCAGCATGAGTAGCTCGCGCCAGGCTTCCTCATCATTGCGATGCGCGACAGCAGCCAAGGCACGAGCGAGAAGCTGGTTCCAGAGGTGGCGTGCTTTGGCGGGGACGTGGCGCAAGGTGGCAGTCCGGGCTGCCTGAATGGCTTCAAAGGACGGCAAGTCCAGATCATCAGTATCCATGGGGTCGCCCTCAGCGACAGCAGCAGCCCGAGCAGCAGGGCGGCATGTTGGATGGATGCCAAATTTTTCTGACACACTAAGGCCACAAACCAAACACCTGGTGCGTCCATTGGCTTGCAGCCAGGCCTGTGGCACCTCGCCACCTGCTGCCCCAGCGAGGTGAGCGTCGATGTGCGAGCGCATAGCGGCCACATTGGCCCACCCTCGGGCCCGGGCAGCATCCGAGCACGGGCAGGTGGACACAGGGCAGTAAACCCTACCGACTGCCTTGGCACTTGCAACTCGTGCAGCCGGTTGAGCAGCAGCCGCAGGCCCGGGGGCGGAGCCCGCGCGAGGAGGAGAGCGCTCACGAGGAGGCCGTTCTCCGCCAACAGGCGTGCCCGGTTCAGGTCCCGGATTGCTTGCTTCCCCCACCCTCTTCCCACGATATGGCCAGCCAGACCAGCGCCGCATGCGTCTCCGAAACCAAGCCCCACGTCTACCTTTCCAGACGACAGTGCGGGCAGGGGCCTTCAGGCCCAGCAGCGGGTCCCAGGTAACCCACGCAGCTGGCTGTTGGGCATTCAACATGGCGGCGAAGGCTCGACGCTCTTGGCGGCCCAAACTTGCCGGCAGCCGGTCCAGCTCACCTTCCTCTTCACAGTGACAGACTCCAACTCCACAGGCCGAAATCTGCGCCGCCAGCATGGTCACCCACCACCCTGCGCGACTCATGCCCGGCGAAGGCGCCATGGCCCGGCGCGACGTGCCTTGGTCGAAACAAACGGCGCCCCCTAGCTGCGCACAGCGGCGCCCAAGGGCGGCACCAGGCCCCCCCAGCTGTGCCCCTAGGCACCCAGGAGCAGGCACAGGTTCACGACGTTTCGGGTCCATTAGGGGCCTATCCAACTGGGACGCATCACGCTGCGAATCATTCCTCTCCAATCGCTCTAGCCTCTAGCGCCCCCGCGGCAGTCCAAAGCATGCAAGCCACGTGCAACAGCCCTGGAATGCAGAAGCAACAGTCGGCATGGCACGGCTGCTTCTCCCAACACTTTCGGGAACCATCCCTGTGCCGTGACAGTCCGGGGCAACAGCTTCAGCTTTGACGGCCTGGACAATGCGCTGCGTAGGGACTTGCAGCCATGGTGCGCGTGTTGCGTGTGTGGTGTGCGGCGTGCAGTGTGTGCCCTCTCTCTCGCTCTCTCACGCTCTCTCTCGCTCTCTCTCTCTCTCTCTCTCTCTGTTTGTGTTTGTTTCCCTGTGTGTGTGTGTGTGTTTGTTTTTGTTTCTGTGTGCGTGTCTGCGTGTCTGCGTGTCTGCGTGTGTGCGTGTGTGCGTGTGCGCGTGTGTGCGTGTGTGCGTGTGTGCGTGTGTGCGTGTGTGCGTGTGTGCGTGTGTGCGTGTGTGCGTGTGTGCGTGTGTGCGTGTGTGCGTGTGTGCCTGTGCGTGTGCCTGTGCCTGTGCGTGTGCGTGTGCGTGTGCCTGTGCGTGTGCCTGTGCCTGTGCCTGTGCGTGTGCGTGTGCTGCGGCTGCTTCTCCCAACACTTTCGGGAACCATCCCTGTGCCGTGACAGTCCGGGGCAACAGCTTCAGCTTTGACGGCCTGGACAATGCGCTGCGTAGGGACTTGCAGCCATGGTGCGCGTGTTGCGTGTGTGGTGTGCGGCGTGCAGTGTGTGCCCTCTCTCTCGCTCTCTCACGCTCTCTCTCGCTCTCTCTCTCTCTCTCTCTCTCTGTTTGTGTTTGTTTCCCTGTGTGTGTGTGTGTGTTTGTTTTTGTTTCTGTGTGCGTGTCTGCGTGTCTGCGTGTCTGCGTGTGTGCGTGTGTGCGTGTGCGCGTGTGTGCGTGTGTGCGTGTGTGCGTGTGTGCGTGTGTGCGTGTGTGCGTGTGTGCGTGTGTGCGTGTGTGCGTGTGTGCGTGTGTGCGTGTGTGCCTGTGCGTGTGCCTGTGCCTGTGCGTGTGCGTGTGCGTGTGCCTGTGCGTGTGCCTGTGCCTGTGCCTGTGCGTGTGCGTGTGCGCGTGCGCGGGCCGCGGGCGCGTGCCTGCGCGCGCGCGCGTGGGCGCGTGCGCGTGCGCGTGCGCGTGCGCGTGCGCGTTCGCGTGCGCGTGCGCGTGCGCGTGCGCGTGCGCGCAGCCCCAGCCCGCAGGCGTGGGCCGTGCGCGCTCGCGCGCGCGCGCGTGCGGGCGCGCGTGGCGGGCGGGCTTGCGGGCGTGCGGGCTTGCGGTCGTGCTGCGGGCGTGCGGGCCGGGCTGCGGGCGTGCGCTCGTGCGGGCGTGCGGGCGTGTCGGGCTGCGGCGTGCGGCGTGCGGGCGGTGCGGGCGTGCGGCGCGTGGCTGGCGTTGCGTGCTTGCGGGCGTGGCGGGCGTGCGTTGCGTGCTGCCGTGGGTGTGTGGTGTGTGTGTGTGTGTGGTGTGTGTGTGTGATGTGTGTGTGTGGTGTGTATGTGTGTGTGTGTGGGTGTGGTTCCTGTGTGTGTGTGTGTGTGTGTGTGTGTGTGTGTGTGTGTGTGTGTGTGTTGTCCTGTGGTGTCTGTGTGTCTGTTGGTGTGTGTGTGTGTGGGTTGTGTGTCGGTGTGTGTGTGTGTTGTGTGCCTGTGTGTGTGAGTGTGAGTGTGAGTGTGTGTGAGTGTGAGTGTGGTGTGTGTGTGTGTGTGTGTGTGTGAGTGTGGGTGTGTGTGTGTGTGTGTGGTGTGTGTGTGTGTGTGTGTGTGTGTGTGTTGCGTGTGTGGGCGCTTGCGCGGGCGGGCGCGTGCGCAGCCGGTGCGCGCGTGCGCGCGTGCGGGCGTGCGGGCGTGCGGACGTGCGGGCGCGTGCGGCGTGCGGGCGTGCGGGCGTGTGGGCGTGCGGGCGTGCGGGCGTGGGTGGGTGCGTGCGTGGGTGCGTGTGCGTGTAAGTGTGCGTGTGCGTGTGCGTGTGCGTGTGCGTGTGCGTGTGCGTGTGCGTGTGCGTGTGCGTGTGTGTGGGTGTGTGTGTGTGTGGTGTGTGTGTGTGTGTGTGTGTGTGTGTGTGTGTGTGTGTGTGTGTGTGTGTGTGTGTGTGTGTGTGTGTGTGTGTGTGTGTGTGTGTGTGTGTGTGTGTGTCTGCGTGTGTGTCTGCGTGTGTGTCTGCGTGTGTGTCTGCGTGTGTGTCTGCGTGTGTGTCTGCGTGTGTGTCTGCGTGTGTGTCTGTGTCTGTGTCTGTGTCTGTGGCTGTGGCTGTGGCTGTGTCTGTGTCTGTGTCTGTGTCTGTGTCTGTGTCTGTGTCTGTGTCTGTGTCTGTGTCTGTGTGGGTGTTTGTGTTGTGTGTGTGTGTGTGGGTGTGTGTGGGTGTGGGTGGGTGGGTGGGTGGGTGGGTGGGTGGGTGGGTGGGTGGGTGGGGGGGTGCGTGTGTGCGTGTGGGGGTTTGCATTGTATGCAAAAGTATCAGCCTAAACGGAATAGGCATCAATTAGCACCCCGCCTCGGGGGTCGGAGCCGCTTTCCGCCGAATGACCAGCGGCTCCGCGGCCTCGACGTTTCTATACGCTTCCCCCACACATCCGAAGGCACAGCGAAAGAGTGCATTCAAACCAAAAAGAAAGGAATCCTAGCAAATCCTAGCAAGAAAGCCCAATAAAGGTCCCGGGCTCAACAAAATTCATCTCAAGCTTCGAGGAGGGCGATGGCATTTGGGAAGCTCGTGCCTTGAGCGGCGCAAACGGCGCCCGTGGTGGGGGTTCCACCTGCTGGCCGAGGTGCCGGGGCGACTTTGGAAAAGAGATTTGGGATTGTAATCGCTTTGGGTGCTGATTGGCTACCGAACTGGGATGCCAAGTCTCGCGTTGCAGGTGACATGCAGTTGCACGGTTGACACCCAATTATGGATGGCCTGGCTAAATCCCGCGTGCCTCCCTACTACTCTCAGAGAACTGGACACCCTGAGAACCTTCTCCGGACCTCTGCAAGATTCTGCAAGCATCGATTTCTCAAAGCCAATTGGCCCCAAATATCCCCAAACCCTGAAGCTTCTGGATGGCTCCCAAGCCCCGAAACCGCCGAAAAGCCACACAGGGGTTTCCTTCTTCGGCCTGGCTCAAGGAGGCGGCCAAAGTCCCGTCCTCGGCAGCCTCTGACTCTGACACTTCTGCAGTCAAGGGAGGAAAGGAATTGTACATACAACATCAGAGAGCTATCTCTAGCCTTCTCGCAGCAAAACTCCCTTCGTGGAAGATACGGTAGCAGTAGACTTCGGCCACACGTTTTGTGCCCACAGACAAAGAATTGCAACGCAATGGCTCGCACGAAAAGTGACTGGACGACAAGCAGCATCAGGTCTACCATTGCTTGCATCCACAGGCCGTACATCCTAGTGTGAGAGCTAACACGAGCTAACGCACCCCTTTCCTCGAATGCAGTCCATGCCGTTGCAAACTAACTTTCGCAGAGCCATCCAGCCTGACCGAGTACATCACGAATCTTCAGTCGGAGACTCTCTACCTCGGCGCCGTCCTGGCGCATGCCGGCACACAGAGCGCCGGCCTGTTTGTACGATCCATACGACCTAGACTCACATAGCTAACTACATGAAGGTGTCGGAACGTGGCCCAGTTTCTCTCTCAAGGTTATGGACTGCGGATATCTTAGGGTCTTGCGCTGCTCTTGGAATGTAGCGAAGTGCTCTTCATTGATATGGAAAGCGGCACTATGCAATCTGGTAAGGGTCCCAATTGCAAAGAACTTCTGAACATGTTGACGGATGCACCCCGCTGCACCCAGGCCTGCGCCGGCGTTGCCTCGTCCTGTGGCCTGCGGCCAGCAATCTGGTGGCACATTCCAAGTCGCTATGTCTCACTCAGCTCAGTGTTTCTGCCGTACTTGTTGTCAGGTCAGGCTTTGCCGACCAATTCTCCCAAGTAACGCTGCTGTACTCGAAGGTCACTGAACTTTTACGAAATCTGCTGTGAGGACAACCATGCAGCTTTCGCTACAGCATCAAGAGAATGCCTTGCACATTTTCAAGCAGCTGTATCGCCGCCGTAGATTGGAGTCGTCCTATTGTCTACCAGCTGTTGCCCTTGCCGTGCCTGTCGGGTGGGGGCGCCGCCCTCTCTACCTCAGGGGTGTTGACCTGAGGCGGGCCATCTTGCACTTCCTAAGACCAGTCCTTTTTTTGAACGCCTCTCTCCGAATCCCTAAATTGCCCTAAATGTTGTCGCAAGTTCTCTGAAGCGACAGATACTGCCAACTGACTTTTCAATTAACCACAACACATTGAACCCTAAACATCCCAAGGTCATCCCAGCTCATCTCATACCCAATTCCTCCCCTTCCAAATCCGTACCGAAGCTGCAAAGCATCATAAAGCATCGCAAAAGCCCGTTGAAAAGCCCTCTCTGTGGGTCCCACGAATGGCTTCGGCAACTTCGGGAGCATGGGCCGATCGGGTTCCTGCGCTTCCTGTGTTTCAAGCTGTGCTTCGATGGATCTTCGAGGCAATGCAGCATTCCTGGAGTTCTGCAACTGAACCAACACGGTGTCACTATGAAAACGGAACACACTGGGCGGGAGTTCAAAGTGCCGCCCTGCCAGCAGAATTCGAAAATTCTCGAAATACGCGAGCGCCTTCTCCAATTGCGGCTCAGCGAAGGCATCCATTGCAGCCGCAGCCCCTGTGCCAGTAGGAAGTTGAAGCTAACAACTTTTAATTGCATCGCTTAAGTCGTTCAGGGTTGCGGTTCACCTTACGAGATATGTTGAACAGTGCCATCCACGCTTCAACGAAGCTGACTAATGCCAGCGGGTTGTGATAAAACAACGCATCAAATGGAGTTGTAGATAGGGGTATTCTCCGCTCGCCGTGACTCGCATCTGTTTAGCAGCTGCGCTCGACTCGGTGCCTGGTGTTGGCTGGGTCGGCTTGAAGGCAGATGCGGCGATGCGGAACCTCGCCAACGTGAGCAGCTGTTGCTTTTACGCGGTGGGCCTCATAAGTCGCCGGAAGCTGTCTTGATTGCACCATAGCAAGGGCATTTCCAGACAGTGCCGCTGCACAGTATTGAACTGATGCATGGAGTCGCACGGTACACGTGCTCATCATAACACCATATAAAACCGATAACCCCAAAGCCCGAGGATGATGAAGATGTCCTATGCCACCACACAATCGCTGCTTGAATCGCTCTGAATACATCTGGGTGCCCAAGCTGCTCTGCAATGAAGCTGTACGGGTCCAGCGGCCGATCACGGATCACAGTCTGAGGCCGCAGGGGGTGCTGAATGGTGCGCTCAGCACATGATGAGCACATGCAGAATTTCTGAGGGAACATCATGAACATCTGATTCTTCGCTGCTGTTTCTAGTGCCACACATCAAAATCAATGATGAAGACATCATGTCATGCACACCCCTCGTCACTAGCGGTCTTTGAGCATCAAAACGAAGTGCCAGCTGGGCTGAGCGCAGCGCCTGGAGCAGTGCGCGGACAAATGGCAAGAGCTCATGAGCTTCCAGGTACCTTTGGCAGTCCGGCCGTTTGAGTCGAGCGATTGTCGCACTGCGCGAGTTTGGACCCTGCATACTCCATCTGTCATACTCTATACCGCAAACCAATCATGCTACTTTGCTGTTGCGGATGCAGGGTTCTGTTGTTGACACGGCCAAAATCCAGGCACCCGACTCTTTGGCCACGGCAGTTTGCGAAAGGAAGCGCTTCTCCTCATCCTGGATTTATGGGCACAGCATTCAGGGAAGGAGCGCAACCATTGCCTGTGGGCACTGTTAAGCTAGTACCGGTTTCGTGGCGTCAGGATGCGTCAGGCACTCATCAGCCATACAACTGCGATAGGCAGCTGCAGATCAGCAACGACCTGGACATGTGCTGCTACTGCTCTATACTTTCTTATGCACATACCAATAATGTTGTAAAAATCGATTCACCCCGGTACGACTTTCGTACCGGTATGTCTGCCAGAGAAGGCTGAAAGAACATTTTTCCAGGCAACAATCAGCCTTGCCTCTGGCAGTGCTGACACTCTGAAAGTCTGAAAACGTGATCATCCTCCATGTGCAGGCTTACTACTGGCTTTAGCCGGTTTAGCAGTCTCGATTTGAGGAATACTGAGGATGTGCTGCAACCTCGCATGCGTCGACCCGAGCGAGCGAGCGAGAGAGAGAGAGAGAAAGAGACAGAGAGAGAGCGCGAGAGAGAGAGAGCGAGAGCGAGAGAGAGAGCGAGAGCGAGAGCGAGCGAGAGCGAGAGAGAGCGAGAGCGAGACCGAGCATATCCGAGCATGTTGCGTCGACAGTCTTCTTGATCTGAGCTTTGGCAAGAAAAGGTACTCTTTCGACAACAGCTGGTTTCGAGTCGGCCTGTGCATAAGCCATAAGCGTTGGTCGATTGGAGCTGACCGTCCCAACCCCAAATTCTGTCACATGTAACTCCCGGTGTCTCCAACCTAGGTGTCCCCAACATATCCAACATCACTGGATCGCCAAACCCTGGCCTCCTTCATAGGCACGGCATTGGAAGGGCCACGGGATCGGACCTCCACAGGCCGGACGACTGGCCGGAGTTGATGTAGAACCCCTAGGCCAAGCAAAAACCTACAAATTAGAAAGTAAAAAGCATCAAACCCCTGCACCCAGGGACCCAGTGCCTTCGGCCGTGGCTCTGCAGGTGGCGGTTCGGTCTGCTCGCCTTTTCTGGGGCCTTGGCTTGCTTTTTGAAGCTTCGAGGTTCTCCTGATTCGACTGGTAATGACCTCAAGTAGGCAAATCTGAAACATGTGTGCGGGCCAAACTTTGAGGTTTTTGGGAGGTTTCGGGCCTAGGCTTCATGCGGAATAGGATGCCAGTTCTGCTTTCGGGATTCAGGATCTGATTGCTGTGTCTTTTGGGGTTGGGGGCCTCTGTGAAATGGCACCTCGCGGCCTCGCGGCCTCGCGGTGCTTTCAAGGAATTTGGTGATAAGTCCTTGCTCAGCTCCCTTGCACGCTTCGAACAGGCACGCCTGTCATTTGCAGTGCCTCCATGTGGGCTCAGCATGTACTAGGAAGCTATATATACATATGTATATGTATATGTATGGTATAGGGAATATGTGTGTCTGTGTGTGTGTGTGTGTCCTTACTTACGTTCCATGTACCCAGATTTGTCCCATGCACCCCCCCCCCCCCCCCCGCCCCCAAACAAAAAAAAACTTAGATTCCGAGATTATTTTCCGATCGAATCCCTGGAACTTTTTGCCTGTCCAGCGGCGCACGGCGAAAGCCACGCGGACAGGGCCACCCCCTTCTCCGGCATCTTTGACTTCGATGGAGTAGTTGCCTTGCGGGTTGAATTGGCGTGGAGTTGGTACAGGTAGCAATTTAAGCAAGATGCTTCTTGTTGTGAGGCAGCCATCCGGTTTACAGTCGAATTTCAGTGAGATCGGTTCGCAACTGAAGATCCTCGAATGATGTTGGAGCCCATGGCGCACATCACCTCGATATGACCGACTAAATTTTGTTGTTCTCGGCCTTATCCCGTGGAAAGACCAGGTAGCCACATTGACGGCTGAGATGGAGCAACTGTACACACAGGCCGGCATCAACAAAAAGAGTTAGAGTTAGAGCAGCTGGCCGGTAGCCACTTGTTACACGCCTGAACAGAAACATGCGGTGCACAGCCCTTGGTCCTGCGCGTCGTCGTCATCATCGCCACCAGGCCACAGCATCAATCAGGATCACGCTCATCAACGTGGTCATCATCATGATCGTCCACCTCATCATCATGTTCATCATCATGTTCATCATCATCATCATGTTCATCATCATCATCATCATCATCATCATCATGTTCATCATCATCATCATCATCATCATCATCATCATCATCATCATCATCATGTTCATCATCATCATCATCATCATCATCATCATCATCATCATCGCCACGTTGTCCTTCTTCATCATATTGCTTCTCTTGGTTTCCTTCATAGTCTTCATCTTCACCATCATCTTCTTCGCCAACATCTTCACCATCATCAGCAGCCTCCTCCTCCGCTTCCTCATTTTTGCGGGTCGACGCCAATAGTGCATAACCAAGTTCAGGATTTGGGCTTGGGCGCTTCAGTTCGAAGGCTTCCGTCTGCTCGGCTTCACGTAACGCCCGCCTTGATTACCTTGGTGGCTCCTTGCAGCTATTGAGAACATGACTACGGTCCTTGTAAGCAACCCCGAACAACCTAAATAAGTTCAGCATCTACATAGTCCAAAATACCCTAGGCCGTAGAACGTTTGAGGTGCTCATAGAGCCCCATCAAGAAACCATGCGTACGCCGTGTTTTTCAAAGCCTTCACCGGGGCGGACCGCCAAGCGCGCGGAGCCAACCTTCACGGTGTTTGTGAGATTTCGGGCGTTGGAGCTTTAGGGCTGGACATTTAGACTGTGCAAGTTTTTCGGGAGGGTTTGAAGCAGGTTTAGGAGCTGCGAACGGCATTTTTTTGCAGAGGTGTCCGGCCTCATATGCCCTAGACGGCAGTTGATATCGCTGTATCGAGCCGCATGCACAGCAAAGTCAGCAAACGTGGTTCGCACGTTTGGGACGCTTCTCGGGGCTTTATATCATCACTCAATGATGCTATGGTCGCGTCACGCCCCAAGCTTCCCCCAAACCGTTTCTCAGCCCTGACTTTTTGGTTCAGAGTGCGTTGAGATCGTGTGGCTGGTTTCTGGATCGAGTTGCAGACATCTGCGTGTGGAGGAAGTGGTACTTTAGAATTGCAGGGTCTGCATGATTCCAACTCTTGCAGGATGACCCAAAGCTTCCACGCCTGTCTGAGGATGTCAATGCGGAAAGGGTTCAGTCCAGTCGGCCCCGAGGAAAGCCGAAACGGAATGCCCTGGGCAAGAATGTTTTTCAGCCACGGTGAGACAGTCCAAATTCCAGGAGTTTGGCAATGATGTATACAGCGCTTACAACTTAAGTATCTGCAGAAAAGGTTTAGGACAGGCGAGAGCAAGAAAAACTAGCTGGACCGGCCAACTAGCAACACCCGCAGCTTAATCCACTGGCCCGTTTCCCAAAGCTGGAGTCCATGCTCAGGCAATCAAAACTGAACTTGCAGGAGATCAAATTCTCCGTGTCACAGGTTATTGTGGGCCTTGTTGGGAGGCTCTGAAAAAAACATGTGGATCTGCTCAGGCGGGATGCCGGCCTTTGTGGGATTAAGGCTTGAGAACACTTTGAGAACATGTCTCCTGCACCGAGACTGGAGCACGTGCCTGGCCCAAGGAAGAGACGGCAGCTTGCTTGCGCTGGCCACCCGCGCGGATGGACACCACCTGCGCACGCTCTCAGGCAGCAGACCTACCTGACAAAATATAATTCTGAAAATCTTCGCGATGCCTGTTGCAATCGGTGTTGGGCAGAAGGCCCTCAGTACCACTCCGCGCTCGAGGGCACTCATGGCTGTTGACTATTTGGGAACCTTAACCCATGAATCTTACTCCCTGCACCTTCGAACTCAAGACCTGACTTCTGTGGGGCTACCCTCGGGGCCGCCCACCTGATCAGGAGCTGCGCCAGACACACTGAGCACTTCGACTTCCATCGGCACCTTTGCAGCTAACACAGCTTTGCTGCTTACATTTCATGCTCTGGGTTGTTCTTGCGC